AGGACGTCCTTCTTCACCCAAAGAGTGATTAACACTTGGAATTCACTGCCACAGGAGGTGGTGGTGGCTACAAGCATGGACGGCTTCAAAAGGGAATTAGATAAGCATATGGAGCAGAGGTCCATCAGTGGCTATTAGCCACAAGGTATAGATAGGGACTCTGGGGCAAGTGATGCTCTGTCATCTTGGTGCTTGGGGGGGTCAACAGTGGGAGGGCTTCTAATGTCCTGGCCCCACTGGTGGACCTCCTGATGGCACTGGTATTTCTGGCCACTGTGTGATACAGAGTGTTGGACTGGATGGGCCACTGGCCTGATCCAGCATTGGCTTCTCTTATGTTCTCTTATGGCTCTCTTGAAGTATCGGAAGGGCTGTCCCTTAGAAGAGGAGGAGGAGGAGGAGGAGGAGATTGGATTTATACCCCGCCCTTCACTTGGAGTCTCAGAGCGGCTTACAAACTCCTTTCCCTTCCCCTCCCCACAACAGACACCCTGTGAGGTGGGTGGGGCTGAGAGAACTCTGACACAAACTGCTCTTTTTCAAGGACAGCTGTGCCAGAGCTTGTGACTGACCCAAGGTCACATCAGCAGGTGCAAGTGGAGGAGTGGGGAATCAAACCCGGTTCTCCCAGATTAGAGTCCGTACACTTAACCACTACACCAAACTGGAGACAGGGAGCTGTTCCTGTGGGCAGCAGAGGAGAGGACTCGCAAGAAGGGGTTTACATTTAAGGGCGGGGAGGTATCGGCTGGATCTCAGGGAAAACTTTTCAACAGTCAGAGTTGTGCCACAGGGGAATCAGCTGCCCGGGGAGGTGGTGAGCTCCCCCTCCCTGGCAGTCTTTGAGCAGCGGCCGGACAAACCCTTGTCAGGGATGCTCTGGGCTGAGCAGGGGGTCAGACTATATGACCTCCAGCTCTGCGATTCTAGGATTCTGTGATTCTCAGTATCAGCTTCCTTCTCATTCTTTGATTTATTTATTTTTAGAATTTTATTTAATTTTTTTCCCCAAAAACATACAAACATTAAGGACAAACAAGCATAGAATGGGGGTAATTCTTCTCAGAGGCCAACATTAAAATAATACGTGTTAAGACGAGAGGAGTAATTAAAGCTAGATTCTAAACAACTGGACTACCTCAACACAACTATTTTTTCATGTATTTGCAGCGATCTACCTGTTGAGCCACCTATGGTGGCTCAAGTTTTAATGACAACATACAACATAGGAGCTATATTGTTATATACAGTGCAGAGTGTGTAATACTGGAGTACGTTATACTGTTTTATATTCGGCAGCATAACCAAGAAGCATAGGCCGGATTGTTTGGGAGTAAATCCTTCTCAGTCATATATTGAAGGTAAGGGAACCAGGTGCGCTCAAAGAGTGATTTCGCTGCACAGAGATTCGTTTGAGCTCTATTTAAAGTGTCACTTATCTTATCCATCAGGAATTGTTCCCATACTTTATTTCTCCAGGCCTCTAAACTTGGAGACTTAGGTGACTTCCAGGCAGCTGCGACGGTGGTTTGTGCCGCCATTCTTTGATAGAGACTATCAAAGACTATCAACTAGCGGGGCCAGTTGGGCTTTTGCCCAGCAAGGCTTTTGATTGGCCATCGGAGATCTGATTGGCGGTGCGGGTTTTCCAAAAACCTTGCTTCGGCAGCAGCGGCTGCCACAGCGCAAAGATCTTCACGGTGTGACTGGAAGTAAGCCGCCGCCACCATTTCGGGGCTGGGCCCCCCCCTTCCGCTGCAGCCATTTTGTGGTTGCGCCGGACATCAGGATTCCAGACGTGCCTGCGAGTTCAAAAAGGTTAGGGGGCGCTGCTCTAAGGCCACGTCTCAAAAGACTCCAACCCAACGTCTAACCGTACGTACGTACGTTTGTAGCACTGGCGATGGTTGAAATGATATCAAAAGAGTTTTCGGCTGAACATTGAGAAGAACTTCCTGACAGTTAGAGCGGTT